AGGACTGTGGGCCAACTGATGGAGCTCTGCCGACTTTACCACAGGGCTGATGTGGAGAAGATCCTGCGCAGGTGGGTGGATGAGGAGTGGCCCCACCGGGGACACTCAGACAGTTCCATGCACTTCTAGAATCCCCTCCTCTGGCATCGGCCTTATTGCTTGCTGGACCAGCATGGCTCACAGGGAGAACGTACCTGCTCTTAAGGTTTTCGGATGAGAATACGGCATGGGCAGTGCTTGTCCCTGAAGCTGGTGACTTGTGGAAGGATGGGTTGTTTCAGTGGCAGGTATTTGTTTCCTTTTGCACATTTCTTTTAATTTAATATTTGAACCTGGAATCGGGGAAGAATACTTTGTAGGCCACCTAGGGCCAGAGCCTGTGGCTGGGACAGAGTCATGTCAACATGGAAAGAAAACAACACTCTCCTTAAATACTGCCAAGATTGCAGCGGGATCCCAAACTATCCATGTCTCTGGACATGTCCGAGTCATCTCATACAGAATCTTTTCACTCCCAGCCTAGCAGAAGATGGCATGGAGATGTCACCCTGGCCTGTTCACTGTTACTGTTTCTGTCGTAAAAGGCTTAGGAGATCAAGAGAATACTGTATAATGTGGCCCAGATACATGGGCTTATTTTTTTTTAATCAAATACTTTTGTAATCTATAGGCTATCAATACTGTCATTGAATTTAGCATTTTTTAAAAGAAATACAAAGTGTGTGGTTTGTTGGAGAAGAGTGGGCTAATGTCTTGGGAATGTCATCGGCAAAGAATAATGCTCAATGTGGCCTTTTGGGGGCTAGGAAGATAACTCAGTGGTTACCGTGCTCACCAAATAAACCATGAGGACCGGGGTCCAGGTCCCCAGAACCCACATGAGTGAGGGGATGATGTGGCGGCCCACCTGTAATTCTAGCACTCAGAAGGCTGATCCCCAGAACAAGCTGGCTAGCTAGACTAGGCACGTAGATGAACTCTGGGTTCAACTGAGGGACTATTTCTCAATGAACAATGTGCAGAGTGATTGAGGAAAACGTTCAACATCAACTTTTGGAGTCTATATGCACACACATGCACATGCACATCTGTATATGTGTGCAACAACATACACACACACAGAAAAACACACCTTTTAAAATGCCCTTTGGGAAGACTAAGGACATGGGTCAATGAGTAAAGTGCTTGGCTTATCAGTATAAAGGCCTGGTCAGCAGCACCCACATAAAAGCCAGACATGGCAGCATGTGCCCGTAACTCCAGGACTGGGCAGTGAGATCCAGGTACTCCCTGGCTAGCCAGATAGCCAGACTGGCAAGCTTTGTGTTCAGGGAGAGACCTTGTCTCAAACAGGAAGGTGAAGAGTAACTGAGGAAGATACCTGAGGATCAAACTTTGACCTTAACACACACACATGCACACGCACACGCACAAACACAGCCTGCTTATTACCCATGCCTCTTGTTTTTTCTTTTTAGCCAGGGCCAGGACTCTACCACCGAGCTACACCTGCACCTCTATTATTAATGAGCTTTATTTTTATGAGAACCCACAAGAAAAAACAAAAAGCTGGGCATGGTGGTTTCCACTTTTAATGCCAGTGCTAGGAGCCAGGTGGATCCGTGGGGCTCATCTGCCAGCCAGCCCAGCCTATGTAGTGAGCTACACGCTGGTAAGAGATCCTGTCTTAAAAAACCAAGTGAACAGTATTCTGAGAAGCAACACCACACGCACACAAGCTCACAGACCCCTATCCATACACACTAAAGGAAGAATAAAGCAGACTGTTTAGGATGGAGATATTAAGATTAACTCAAAAGAAGGTGATTTTCTAAACCACTTTTTTTTTTCTCATAACAATTAGATTTTCCCCTTAGGGTTGTTGGGAAGTAAAGTCAGCTTCTCATTCAGTGTGAACCCCAATCAACCACATCGAGAGTGAAGCCCGTTGCTTCTGGCTCACTGTGAATCACATCCATGTCCACCTTATTGCCAGATATATTCAGAGTGGCAGCTAGTGATCAAATGTGGATGTTTCAATATTTTTTAGATTTATTTGTACAAATGTTTTTTCCTGCATGCATGATACCTGCAGAGGTCGAAGGGTATTGGATACCCTAGAACTGGAGTTACAGACATTTGTTTATCAATCTCCATGTGTGTGCTGGGAACACATCTGCAAGAGTAGCTAGTGTGTTTAACTACAGAGCCCATCTCTCCAGCCTCTAACTGCAGATATTTTTATAAATAGCATCTCAGGAAAGTCAGATGTTGTAAGCATCATGGGCTTGATCTAGGCTCCCAGAAGAACTTGTGGGGGCTGCAGGGGGAGGCTCTAAACATTTCACAGATGTGATTGGTTGCCTACTTTGTCATTAAGCTATCCATGGTGTGATCTGGCTGTTTTCACAGGGTCTCCTAGCCCGAGCTGTTCTCACACTCATTCTGTAGCAGAGGATGACCCTGAATTTCTAATTGCCTGCCTCTGCCTTCCAAGTGCTGGGCCACCACATCTGGTTTAGTGCTCACTTCTTAGAGCAGAAGCAAGTGTAGGGAAATGAGAGGGGCTTTGGAAATCACTTTGCAGAAAGGAGCTCAGGAGGTGAGGCTCAGAGATAGAAGGGTAATGGACCATTAACAAATGCCAGCCCTGGCATTTCAATGTATCCCATAACTCGGGTCTCACACATTACACACTTCCAGAGTGAATACTCTTCATGACTGGCCTGGGGCAGCCAATCCTCTCAACCATCACTTTCACAGGAAGTGTTGCCAGCACTTCAGCCTCCAAACTGAACTGATCACAATGCATCTCGAGAACAGAGCTGTGCCTGTAAGCGTTCACTGAACTTGCCTTTCTAGCATTGGATCAAAACTGTCAAGCAGGGCTAGGGGGATGGCTCAGCACCTAAGAACACTTGCTGCTCTTGAGCTAAGTGTCAAGTACCCACACGGGGTGGGTCACGACTGCCTGTAACACTAGCTCCTGGGGATCTGACACCTTATTGTAGCCTCCAAAGGCATTCGTACATACATGGAATACACACACACACACACACACACACACACACACACACACACACACGAGTACATCTCTAGGGACAATGTCAAGCTTGGTCTGAGAAGGTAGCTCAGTTGGTAGAATCCTTGCCTAACATGCTAAAGGCCTGAGTTCGATCCCCAGCCTCGTATAACCCACTGTGATGGTGCATGCCTACAGCTCCAGCACTTGGGGGTAGAAGTGGAGGATCCGAAATTCAAAGTCATCATTAGCTACAAAATAAGTTTGAGGCCAGCCTTCGATATATGAGACCCTGCTTCAAAAAGAAAACAAAATGTCATGCAAGCCATGTGTGCTGGTACATGACTGTCACCCCAGCATTTACCCTGTGAGAATCTTTAATTAAAAGGAGCATGGAATCAACGGAGAAAGATTTCAAGTTAGTTCTGACTGGAGATGTAAGATGGCTTGGGTTTGTGCTGCACAAAAGAAAGCCAAGGATTATTCTCAACTGCAGTACAAAGCAGCTTACTGAAAGGTAGCTTGTGGCCAGTGAGTTCTACAGAAGCACAAGTACCCTGGAACTTCACAAAGGTGAGACCAGGGAGGAGGAGGTCACTTCATGACCAACTGGTTGAATAGGTATTGAAAGCTTAGTCATCAGTTTTTAAATATTTGATTGTTTTAAGTTACATGTCGGGGCTGGAGGGATGGCTCAGAGGTTAAGAGCATGGACTGCTCTTCCAGAGGTCCTGAGTTCAATTCCCAGCAACCACATGGTGGCTCACAACCATCTATAATGGGGATCTGATGCCCTCTTCTGGTATGTCTGAAGATAACAGTATACTCACATACATGAAATAAATAAAAACTTTAAAAAAATTAAAAAAAAAAAAGTTACATGTCTCTGTGTGATGTGTGCACACGAGTACAGGTGTTTGTAGAGACGTGAGGTGTCAGATCCCCTGGGGCTTGAGTTGGTACCCATGGGTGTTGGGAACTAAACTCACGTCCTCTACAAGAGTAGAATAATGAGTCATTTCTCCACCCCATCATCATTAACCCATAATGCGTTCTGTCCCGGACACCAGTATTAAGGAGAGCTGCTTGGGAATGAGGTTGTTTTCCTGTAAAAAAAAATATTGAAATCTGCTTAGCCATGTTTCCCAAAGTATTTTTCTTTAAGCAAAATTTTCATCTGTGAAGGTCTATGATGAGGCCATATATAGTATACATTTTATTTGGGTGCAGTAGTGGAGAGTCAAATTAAAGTGTGAAAGGAAAGGTCTCAATACCACACTGGACAGGTCCCAAATACACAGGGACAAATGACACACTCCTGGGGACCCACACAAGAGGGGCAGGCAAAAACATGGCATGCAATATTAGCGCGGTGGAGTTTTAACTAGTTAGGGCTTGCAGCTGTGCTAGGATGTCCAACCTGTGCCTCTAAAAACAAAACAAAACAAAACAAAACAAAACAAAACAAAACAAAACAAAACAAAACAAAACAAAACTCTGTACAAAGCAACCACACTTCTATAGCACTGACTTGGTACAGGAAATCAGGCCATTCTGAACAATAATTTTATGTAGTGCTGCCCCCTGCTGGACGATACAGAGTCTGGCTTGGTTAAGCCCCTTCCAAGCAGGCCCCACTAAGACAGAAAGAGAAAGGGTATGTTTTCTCTGACTCAGCAGGCAAAGGCACTATCACAGTGATACAGTTGAGACAGAGGTTCCTGTTTCCAGGATGTGCTCAGCACAGTGGCCTGGAACTCAGTACTGATGGACTTGCTTCCTTGGGGACTGAGGATACTGTTGTGTCTTTTGGGTCTTATCCTCTCCCAGTTTAGCACCCAAGGATGCCATGATACAGTACTCTTAGCCTCACCTGACTTTCAACCATCTACATTACAAAAAGATGTGCTTCTAACAGAGGCCTAACAGATTTTTCTCTTCTGGCCTCTCCTTTGTAGGCAGTTAAGCAGATCTCATTTGGTTTTGAGTGAAGACTTTCCCCCATGTCTTTTTTTTTTTTTTAAATCAACCCTATTGTCACTGCTGTATAACTTCCCTTCCATTTGAAGCCATGATATTGCTGTCTACACCACTTGTTCAGAGCCAGCTGTATGCATATCTCAAATCATCTTCCTCCACCGGCCAACAGTATTCCCCTCTCTGAGCTGGCAACAAATATCTACTTCATGTTGTCATGTGTACACACAGAAACAACCCCACCATGGACCTAGCAATGGCAAACCACTCTACTCTGGGTGCTACAAAACCCTAGACTGAGGCACACACTTTCGGAAGGCACACTGAGAGACATTTGCTGTCTCATCCCCTGCCTGGGACTCAGACCCCACCCTGGGACTCCTGTGTACTTGGTTATAGATGCATAAAGAAGGGTGAGTCTTGCCTTTGATGTGTTTAGAGAGAATCAAAGCCAAGATGCTGGGCCAAGTGCTGGGGCTACTGACGTCTCAGCATCGGTGGATGGAGCACCTGTGGGTTCCCAAAACCTAGACTTGAAGGACTTTGATGGAGCGGGGCCTGCTTCCTTTCTTCCTGCGGCTATGCAGGAAGGGTATGGCCCTGGGAGCTATGTCTGGCAGGAGATCCCTGGGTGAGCATGTGGACTGAAAGGCCTGGAGTGGTCAGTGATGCAACTGAAAATGAAATGATGGAGTTGCCCAGCTCTCTTGGAGGTGAAAGAGGATCTTTCATTTTG